CAGTTCAATAAGGGAGACACGAATCAGATCCCTAGAGGAAGGTGTAAGAGCGATGTCCTATCTGCGAGCTCTCCGATGTTCTCGGGCACTACTTCTTTGCAGGTTGCACCGCGCGATACTATTCAGCCAGGCCTTGGCCTGAAAAATGACAAGCGAGACCCCAAACCACAAAACCAAGAGCCCTGAAGTGCCCAGCGTCCGCCAGAGGGGGAGACGCGAAAGCTTGTGGCTGACGAGCTGACGGCGCTGTGCGAGCGCTTGGATCAGGCCATGCTGGAATGCGAGATAGTTTGTCAAAATTAAGGTCGCCCTACGTGGCATTCTCCAAAAGTAGCCATGCGTATATCTGAGAGCAGAGAAGAAGCCAACAAGTCACGCATAGTAATGATTGTCATGCGGGGCACACTAGCGTCGCAGCAAAACAAGGGATTTTTGAGGCCATCACATGCAGTCATTTTGCGGGTAAGACGTAGCAAAAATCATTCCTGGATCGTAGTGGTAGCTTGCAATTTGCTATGCTGCCAACTAAGGATGAATGGTAGAACGGTAGAACTTACCAAGCAACATGTTCCGCTTGTCTGCCCCCGCTTAGGAGCTCTCGTCGGCGTGGGGCTGAGCAGTCTGAGCCATCCTGCCTAGAGGCATGCGAGTTGCCTATCTGACGAGTCGTTCATGCTATGCAAGGTTTCTTGGGGAGACTTGGGCATTCTTTGGGATTCTAAAGGGGTCCTGTTGCGGACCGGGCTGCTGAGGGATACCTCCGCAATGAGCAGCTTTACCCTTAGTTTGGTGAAGGTAACATGTAACATGCCAGGCAAAATGTCATTCAACCATGGTACAATTAGCGTCAACAGCATCAGGAAACCTCCTGCCACTTTCGGGATCTTCCCTGGCAGTTCCCTGTGTCATCCCCCAACTCAATGGCTGCAGAGGTTCTCGGAAGCCCGCCTCCTTACCTAAACCCTGGCACAAGGCTGGCCTTCATTGTTGTAGCCTCTATTGTGACTTGAAGGTCGCAACACTCTGGTGATGACAGGAGTCGTTCATGCTGCCACTCATGAATCCTTCGTAGATTCCCCGACTCTAAACATGACTGCAGATTAGGTCCGCCGGGAGATGGCAGAGTCAACAGAGCGATGCGCAGGAGATGCGCGAGCACGGTGCCCAGCTGCCGATTGAGTTCTCTCAATATCAGGGATGTGGATTGAGATGTAGCACTTAGGGTTTCCGGCTTCAGGAGCTACTTGTCAAGGGTTGACACAGGGTCACTCGAGAGTCATGGATGGGAATATGGACTATTGAATGTTACATTATTTCAAGCTGGGGTGGTATGGGTTAGTCTTTCTCGGAGGCTTTATGGGCGCCACATTGGGACTCGTGGGGCATGGGGAACCCTCCAATTAGGGGTCAGGTCTTCCTGCCATAACGGTCGTCTAGGCAAAGTCCGATGGGCCGTAGTGATAATATGGGGACTTTGAGATTAGATTGGGCTAGGGCTAATTACGTCCAGGTAAAGAGCTTCTTGAATTTGTGGGTCCTTTTCGGCCTCCTGAAAGGGTTGATGTTGTGCACTTTGATTTTCAGAGAAGCCCTCAAATTAAAAGCTTCATTCGAGGGTTGTCGGATTCATACAGAGCGATTTTTGAAAGTAACCCGCACGAACCTAGATCATCAGAAGAAAAGTTGCCAGCTCAATTGAGCAGTACACTTCCGGTCTCCTGTTGCCTCTGTTAAGGATGCCCTCCCCGATTCACGGTAATCATGCTGTAATGCTGGCAGCAGTCAGCAGCTAAGTTTCCCGATTGCATCCAGCATGAGCCCCGCCCGGAACTCAACCCCTTCATCGTCACATCCATGTACAGAACATGAGACGATGCTTCCCTGGCGAAAGCTCTATATTAAACAACTTGTACAATCTTAGAGGTACGTCTTGTAGATACTTGTAGTAGGTCACCTGCTGAGGCAGAGCTCCAGAAGATGAGTGTCGTCCTCAACGGAGCATCCAGCGCAGAGCATTGGGAACTAATTTGCACAAGCTGTGCAGGTAGTTACCCAAAAATGCACCCAATGTAGACGAGAGGCTTAACGCGCACGGTTGGTCTTGATATACATCAGGCCCAGCAAGCACAGAAAAATGCGGTTCGGGGTGGTTTAAACTTCAGCAGGTGCATCGCTGTCGGCGAGCATTGCTGCCAGTAGACAGCAAAGCTTGGACCACACGAGCGAGCTGGTGAAGGTGCGGCTTAGACATTCCCCCTGCAGTGCAGTGTGACAGCCTCGTGAGAGAATGCATTTACGCGCCTTGGATGGCGGGTGCCATGGGTGTGGAAGATGTCTTTGACAGAATAACGGTGGATTCGTTGGGTGTCTGTGCCAACCCGCAGCAGGCGTGTCGGGCGCATGTGGATGACTCGCTCTACAGGGAGCAAAAGGCCAGCAAGGAAGGTTTGAGTTTCTGTCAAGGATTTTCAATCCACATTGATGCCATCAAAGATCTCTGAAGGTTGCCAATGGGGAAAGTTGCTTCCTATGAGCTTGCAGCTTACAAGTTATCATTGTGGAGTGTCATGCTTGCTAGTGTATGGGTCCGCATGTGTTTCCAGACTACAGGCTTGACTGAATGCATCCGTTACCCGGCATGAGCAGAGCTACCAGAACCCCAAATGATGGTTCTTACAATGGTGAGTATGACTGGACAAGTAGCAGCACTGCGCTATTGGCATTATATTACAATATGAGGAGTTTGAAATTTCTAGTACTCGTAGCAGCACTGCGCTTCCCATTGGCATTATATCACAATATGAGGAGTTTGAAATTTCTTGCTCAGTGATCACGGAATTTATTGGCCCTTTGAGCTCCACTGCTTGTGCTTAGCATGGCGCAGCTCTGCAGGCTCGCACTGTGGAGGAGGATCGTGTGAAGGTAGCGGAGGCCGGAGATACCTCAACGCGAGCCATAGGAACGGCTACGAAGCAAGCATCTGGATGATTGTAGCTTAAAGTTCAATAGACGACTCGCAACAAGGATGTGTGTGCTCCTAGTGACGTCGTTTTGCATTTACGAAAACCAATGGGGATCGAAGCTGCTCTGCTGGAAAGTTCGGTGCGGATAACGTGTGTTGTTCGGACTGGGTACTGAGATTGAGTCACTTAGTCCCACGGTACTTGCTTTGCTTTGCAATGTACTGTCCCCGTTTCAAGTGTTCAAGGATTTGGCCGCGAGAAGCTCCTGAGCATAAAATGCTGAAGCAATCCGCCCACATCATCACGGCAGTCCTAGGAGACTCTGATCTTGACTCGCAGGGTGTTGTTGGTGTTGCAATTGGAAGGCTTCGCAGATCAGCTAGCTTTGGCAGCTCATTGTCTGCATGAACAAAGTGTGACTCTTGCCATGGGAGGAGGGCAACCATACTAGCAGCCAATATTTGAAAAGACATCAGTTCAAGGACGCCGAGGAGGACAAGCGGTACTGGTCTGTGCTAATGCAGTTGTGGAAGAAAGCAGCTTATGCCGCGTCAGCAGCCTAACGATAACCTTCGCAGTCTGGCTGCATATCCTGGCAGGCGGACATCTGGCTTAAGCTGGACCGGTTAACTGAGCTGGTGCAGGAAGTTGGTGATGCCGTGGGATCCTTGGAAGTCCTTTTGCAGTAACGTGTGATCATCTCTGCTTTGAAATCCCAAGATAGGCAGGCTGAACTCTTGAAAGGGTGCAGGATTGCCGGACGTCATTGGGATGCCTCACCTTTGGAGCTGGACCACGATTCTTTTGATCGACTTATCTCGGTCAAGCATCTGCAATGACTGCGTGTGCCTCTTCTAACGCGCAAGCATTAGAACGAGCACAGAACTTCAGTCGGTCAGACCTGCAACCGCACTTTTAATCAAGTCGCAGTCTGACAGGCCGCGCCACTCCCCAAACACCGCTCAGCAGATCCCGAACCGACTCTGCAACATCACACTGCACGGATCGAGGCGCTTGAGGAAGTCAGAGCTACGACTGGGGAGATGGACCACAAGTTCACCGAGGCCACCTTGATTCTGATGATGACAGGGGTGTCATACCTGCTGAAACATGGAAAGCTGTGAGTTGGGACTTGCCTTATGAGAGCATAATGTTTCGCACTCGTGATCTAGCAAAAGAATTGTTGCTGAGAGAGAATCCCGATTCCCAGGCCAAAAAGCTGTTGCTATTGCTTATTCGGAAGCCCTCGTTGGCCCATGGGACACACACCTCGCAGGGCCTTGATCTTAGCCCCAAAGGCCCTGGCATCCCCGAAAACCGAAAAAGCAAGGCGCTTACACTGGCAGACCAGCGCTTGACGGCGCGGATGCCAAGCTTTCCGTGGCGTAATGTTTCTTCGCTTAAAGGTTTCTGGGCAACGGGCTTTTGCTTTGCAAGCCATCTGCAGTGTTTTTGAACCTGATACTTCTGCCTTGTTCATGACTTCAAGACACCTTGAGCTGAGATTTATGTGGCTTCAGCTTGTGGGAGAGAGGCTTACAGGGTTCAACGAGGCTCTGCGGTAGGGGCGTTTCGTAAATGCGCTGCATGTTTTTGCAAAGCAGCTAACCAGGCACTGAAGTCTTCAGCTGTAGTCCGGGAGTTGAGCCGTCTCCAGTAATTTTAGCACTTGGGGAAGCCCACTGCAGTTAGGTCTTCCCTTTTTTGCAACGACGCGGCATGCTCTTCAGGCCTTCTTTACGACATATGAACTCAGTCCTAGCTGTGGCCGCATATACAGTATCTCTGGCCGTGGCACAATTACACCAGGCGGTGCACTTGCTATTCGCAGGCTCTTAAGCCATCGTTGGATTTTAGTTTCATATGCAAAGCATAGTGTTGAAGGCAGACTTGACAGCAAAGTTGAGGTTCTCCGACCAGCCTAGCACTGGAGAGATAAAAGAGCAAGCTGGGTGAGCACTTCAAATAGTCCTCCATTGGTTCTGTTGTAATCTGCAAGACTGCTGCAGTAGACTTTAACAGTAGACTGCACGGCACATGGGACCTGTCGATGCGGTGCTCCTACAATTCGGCCTGGGCGCGGCAGCCCTCGCCCTTCGATACTTCTCACGGCCTTTCATTGCTTGCTTCCAGCGCTGCACCTCTTGCGTTTGGAACTGCCTTTGTTGCCTCTGCATCTACCGAAGGAAGCGGGCTTCTGTGCCCGAAGGCGCAGCTGAGGAGCCAAGCAGATGCCTGCGTCTGAAGCGGTTTTTAGCGACCCATGCCGCTGTCCGTTGGTATTGGTTCCACATGGCCATGCAGTTGGGCTTCCTCACCCGCGAATTCCAGGCCAGTGCAGGATCAAAAGGATTCCAAAACGGTCCCCGTACAGGGGGCGGGGTTGATAGCAAAAGGGAGTTGTATGGCACTCAGGTCAGGTGCTTCTTGCTGGTTTCTAGCATAACTTGTTTATGTATCTTGAAGACTACGGAGAGAAGGGCTGAACAAAGCCAGGTGATGTCAGTGGCCTGGCAGGAGAGCTGGCCGCGGGAGGTGCTTTTGTCCTACTGTGCCCTCTGGCTGACCTACACCGTGGTCCTGGTGGAAGTTTGCCACTTCTCATCCGTTCGAAACAAAGATGTCGTGACCAAGGTCACTGTGGATGGGATTCTGGATATGTTGCTGTTACCGGTAAACATTGGATTCTTCGGACACCTCTGTGTCAGGAAGCTTGCCCTGCCGTCAAACGATGAACATTCTCTGCACATAATCTCTACAATCATGGAGAGCTCAGAGATCTGGGAAGCCTGGGCGCTGTGGTCAGTTTTGGGCCTCTTCGTCACTGTTGTGGACGTGGAGTCCCGACGAGATCCGGCAAATCGAGAGTTTGCCGTGCCGTTCAGGAATTTGAGTTTGCAAGGAGTGCGCACCTGGGTGTTCATGATCATTGTAATCACCACAACGAGACTCGTCATGACTGGGGTCTTGCAGTCTCGAGCACCAACCATGTGCTTCTGGGCCTCCAAGACCTGCACCTCCTGCAATGAACTATATGATCAGAACATTCACTTGGCTGCTGGTGCTGTCAATTTCATTCTTTGCTCCTTCGCGCTTGCCTTTGTTTTCACATTTGAGCACAGCTTTGATGAGTATTTGAGCAGGATTGGGCCTTTCTGGAAGTTTTGGGGAGTGAAAGGCGTAGTGTCAGTCACCTACTTTCAGTGGCTTGTTCTGAGCTATGGACCCCTGGACTTGGACGAGAAGCGCATCTACGAATTGCACTGCCTGCTTTGCACCCTTGAGATGCCAATTCTAGCCGTTATCCACGCTAGCTGCGCCTATCCCTACGGGCAACCATGGCTGGACTACTTGCTACAACTGCAACAGCAGGACATGAGTGAGAATGAGGCCCAAGGCGCATCTTCCCGCGTGACCCGCTTCCGGCTGACCGAGTTCAATGTCGACTTCACTTTTTCGACGCGAAGCTGTCAGGCCCAGTCCTGGATTTTTGCTTTCTATGTGGCCTTTTGGAGCGCTGGCTGCTTGGCGAGCCATCGCTTGGTGGTGTTTGTGCTCCCTGTTGCGCATGAAGTCCAGGGTCCGCAACCGCCCATCTACCATGCGACATGCAACACAGAAGGGGACATTTGGCATTACCTGGCCAGCGAATCCAGCAAGCTCCATTTTCAGATCCGGAACGACACCATCGAGAAGCACCGGCTTCCCGGTGTGGGGGGTGCCTGGCTTCCTTTGTGCGGCCGTGCGAACCTGGACTGCCAGCCTGGCTTCCACGGCACACCCTCACTACGCTGCTCCCCTCAGGGCAAGTATGAGCCCACTGGCATCTGCAAGCCCATCCGCTGCGGCCAACCCAACGAGGAGGCTGGGCATGCCAGGCCGGCGCAGATCCAAATCTTCACTGTGCTTCCAGCAAGAGGGTTTCTTCCCTTCCGGTTTGAAAGCCTAAATGAAACGCCTCAGGATGCCTTGGTAGGTTGAAGCAGCTTGAGTTGAATCGCTCCACTCAGCTTACTTGTGTGTCCTCGCGCAACAACAAAAGCCCAAGGTACTGTAGGACATCTCGTCAAATGATTACATTGAGACTCAGCATTGCCACCTGTAGAAGCATAGCTGAGACAACATGATTTTCGACTTCGAATCTAAGTTTGGGAAGGCTTCACAAGAACAATCTTGTCATCCGAGAGTGGACAAGTGACATGGTCATCTCCTACGAGTGCATCCGGGGCTTTGTGGGCAAGGTACGTGCCAAGTGCGGATTGGATGGTGGCTGGACATTTACTGGGCAGTGCAAAGAGGTCCTATGCCCCGATCCACCTTTGGTACCGCGTGCCAAGCCACTGCTGGAGCCCAGCGAGTTGGAAAATCGCACCTGGCAGGCAGGGATGTCGTTGCGGTACCAGTGCACGGATCCGTTCATCGGGATAATCACAGCCACCTGTGAGGATGATGGAAATTTCGTCCTGCACGGCCGATGCCTTGCGTTTTGTAAAACGCCGCCAGCTGTGGACAATGCCATTGCAAATTACAACAATTCTGTTGCGAGCTTTGGCTGGTCGGAAGGGATGAGGGTGACATATGACTGCATGCCCGGCTGGAGCGGCACGGTTTTTGCAACCTGCCGCGAAGACGGGCAGTACAGCATCGAAGGCCGTTGCCACATGCAGTGCCCAGATCTAAACAGGATGCTGGAGGATACTTATGGGCCTGCATGGACCGACGTCATCTCAGTGAACGGCTCCCGCTCGCTTGACTTGACAGGCGCCAGGGGTTTGCTGCTCAGGGCACCATGATGAGGGAGTGAGCCAATCTTAAACAGCCTCTCAGTACCACAGGTTTCCACTCAAAGGACCATCTTCCACTATCTTAATGTACATATCAATACTTCTGGAGGGCAGGTATTGCACAACAAGGCATACGGAAGTATACGTAAGTATTGTTCTGAGGCGCGCACAGTGTTATTCAATCCTAAGGTTGTTATCACCTTCCCCTGATAAATCACACAGAAGATGCTGCAACATTGAAAACAGGAGTCTATCAAAGCAGTCAAAATCATAGAATCAGAGCGGCTGTTGTGACATGGTCCCGCTGATGAGCAGAACAGCCCCAAGCCCTAAAACCTCAAGTGACAGCCTCAAACAGCCCCCACCCAAAAGCCTAAACCCGAAACCATAAACCCTCGCCCCCAGACCACAAACCCCAAAACCGAACGCATGAACCCTCAGCCCCCAACCCTAAACTACCTTGACCGCGAGCTTCAAGCCCTAAACCGCCTTAAACCTTACAGAAAACAATGCACACAGGAATGGACTCCTAGAGCCCCAGGTACCCCCCAATAACTTAGCAGTTTCCACCTTCTTCTCCAATCCTTCCACGCGAACACCGCGCTAAAAAACCCAACCGCAGCTGCTTCCAGGCACCGGTGAGGCGGACCTGGTGGCGCTGTCCTGCGCGCCTGGCCTGGCGGGCATGCCGCTTGCTGCCTGCCAGGAGGGCCGCTGGCAGGTCCAAAGAGTGTGAATATGAAGGGATGTTTTGAGATTGGAGGCAGATGTATTTGGAGTTGCATACGGGATTCTACACAGATGTGAGCCACAACCGTTAATCTCCATATGAAAGGAACTAGTCTTCAGGTGGCCATGGTTTATAATTTCACGCAAGCCCTGCTTACCGATAGGGGAAACCCAACACCGATACCCCTAACCAATGCTATTTACCGATAGGGGAAACCCAACTAAGATGCGGCCGCTTCTGGGAATAAGAATTTTGGCGCGAGCTCATGTCACGTTTTTTCTCCGAAGCCACGGTAGCAAATGCCCTGTCAGACAATGAGCACATTGACATGGAAGCTATGCTCCGTACAGCCCAGAAACATCCACGAAGATCAAGAAGCCCGTGAAACATCTTGCGATTTTTCACCATTGCAGAGGTGCTGGGAACTCCTTGCCAGGGTTTCCCAACTTCCATGGGCTGCAGCTGCAAGCGCCAATGGACACCTGGGCTTGTCTCATGAAGTCGCATTCCCTGGTTTGTTGTGCTTGGAGGATGTTGGGGCATTGAGGCTGAGCTATAAGCCCAGATTTTCACGTTTGGAGTTCAGGGCGTGGCTGCAGTTTGCAATCGTGTAGATGGTCCAGAACACCTATTCGCTTCTGAATCCTTTGACTCCGCCTGCACTGTTCTGCAACACCTCTGTAGATGGCCTGCAACATCCAACAATCATCATATTTGCCTAGTCTGCGGAGGACCTGAGGGGCAGCCTCAGGTCCACTTCAAAGCGCTGAGATCCCGAAATATAGAATCTTTTCCTTTGTTCCCTTTGATCGTAATGCCTGGTCACCAACTCAACTGCTCCTCCAACCCTTTCAGGAAATTCTGCCGCAACATCCTACAGCGCAACTGCATTCGTTGGCATGGCTGCCATGGCTCAGGATCCGTCAGGTGCGAGAGGGGAGAGGGAGAAATAAACAAAAGCAATGAAGTTCTGCAAAGCAAGCATGGTCGGTTCTGGTGAAAGCTTGAGCCATCCACATGCTCCCTCCAGGTACGGGTGGTGCGAGGTCGACGAGCAGCTGCCTTGTGCTTCCGCCAACACACCTGCCTGGGATTACTGCGTGGGCCAAGGGCCGCAAGATGACCCCGAGATGCCCTTGGAGAGCGAGATGGGTGCCGTTGTGCTACGCTACGGGCTTTTCGTGGCTGCAGGCCTGCTGAGCGTAGCGGCGCTTCTCTTCCTGCGGCAGTTCCTTCCTGTCCGCCAGCCCACGCGGCCCGAGACTCAGGCGCTCCCCGAGCAGTCCTTTGAGCTGCCTCCTGTTACACAGCCTGCCTGATCGCCTGACCATCCCGATTCTCGATCGTGACCTCTTCGCCAATGCTCGGCGAATCCTCGGATGTCTGTCAGCTGGGACGATTGCATTCCTCTGCCCTGAACCGAGCTGGACTTCTGCAATCTGCTCGGAATCCACTCTGTACTGTGCTGCGCTGGCACCCATTAGTTAATGTTGATGCTGCTGCTGCAATGTCCAGCAGATTGGTTCCACATGCGTTGCCTATCGGTGATCAAAAGGCTTTCGTCATTCTTAGACACCTTTATCATCATGCCCTGACCATCTTGGGACACTTTCAGTGCAGACACGAGGTTGTTACCTTTTGTTGGGAAGCAGTGACAGGATTGCGAAACTGTCCTAGATTCCCAAATGGCAGAGTCCCAGATTCTCAGATGGTGGGGCTGCCGGTGACGGATGATCATTAGGAGAACCTGGAACATTTCCCCGCCTTTTGTTTTATCATGGGCATAGCTGCTTCGACGCCACGCTCAACTTTTGCAAGACCAGCAGATCCTTGACTGGACATTTCGGATTCCCCTTCTTGAAAGGATTGCCCATTGCAAGCGATTCCAGCATCTACTACAAGGGTTCTAATCCCTAGCGGCCCTAGCGCTCACTTCAGCGTCATGGTACGGCATACTGTCACTTGCTCTGAAATCTTGTTCCAATCTTCCGGCTTTCTGCATAGCCAGGTGTTGGACGACTCTTGCCTGAGGCTTCAGGACGCTTCATGCTTTTGAAGGGGCTGAACTTAGGTTGGGGGGTACCTCGAAATCATGGGCCCCTCGCGTCCCTTGTATTGCTGAGGATGCTCTTAGCTTGTTCAGGCAATCCACTACGCACCGCTTATTGTTACAATCATCATACATGAGCTGATATCAAACGCACCTCTGTGTTGTGTGTATGTGATCTTTTCGCACTTGGGCTTCTGTCGTTCTGGAACGTTGATGTTGCACACGTTTCAGTAATTTCCTGGCGGGGCTAGAGCATTCTTGACTCCACGCACGCGGATGGTCCTGAATTCTGCACCTGAATGCCTGCTCCACAGCATCCAGACAATTTACGTCTGAGCAAGTCCCTGACTCTGGAAGCCAGGGTCGGAGGGTATTGCAGCATAAGCAAAAGCCCTCACACAAACTCCACAGCACAGACTCTCGCCGAATGCCTAGTCTCTGCAAGAGGCATCCAGTTTTCGACCACTTCCTCCCGAAAGCCCCAGGCCCACCATCGTACATGACATGACCGACTTCAGAAGAGCAAGACCTGCTATCATGACAACGATATCGAATGCACCCGACAACCGGCTCATCATCATTGTCGTCGTCATCTTCATCCTTGTCTTGATCCTTCTCCTCCTTGTCCTCCGCTTCTCTCGTTCTCTCAACATACCACTTTGCTTGAGGAGGGCCTCTGCGAGGTGCAAAACAACTACACGCGAAAGGCGGATGTCCCAGAACAATGACATCAGGGTGGTAGTTGGATTCTAGGATTGATAGCAACAGCCCTGCTGTTAGTTGCAGAGGAAGCTTAGCACACGAAGAGTAGTAGCCTGGCCTGGCCGTATGTGTAAAGCTGGTGGTAAAGCCGCAGTGCCTGTTCGGTATGTTCAGTCCCAGGATAATAGGTCCCAGTCCTGAGGCAGCCAGGCTTGTGGAACTACCACATTGCTTGGGGTATCAGGTGTATATATTTTAGCAAGATATTTCCGTCGAGCTTTTTACCCTAAGCACAAGCTCCACAACCTCTGAATCACTGCAACCCTTTGCTCCCTTGTAATTGGATGGCTGCCCACCTGTTACATATTGTGAACCCACTGGATGAAGTGAGACCCCATCAAGATTCGCTGCGTACGTAAGCCTTAGAAGATTCTATGACAGAATTCTGCTGAGTTCCGTAACCCACACGAATGCGTGCATGCTCGCCCGTGTGGGCTTTAGATGCACCCCTTGGTGAGCCCAGGTTACTTGGGTACTCCGCAAAGCTTCGGAGAAACTCCGACCTCCTCTTCTGGACGGGGGCACGGACATGAGCTCGTTATTGCAGAATCCGTTGATGGGGATGTACACGGTTGCTTGCTTGTAGCTGTCCTCGTGGGGTCATGAGTAGTCCATGTTGTATTGAGTTTCCATGCACAGGGCTTGAGATCATGCATGTTGAAGCATTCTCGTGGTACAGCTGTGTTGTGTGGGCTCGGCTTTGCGTGGCAGTGCTACGTTTTTTATCAGACGAATGACCACTGGATGAGCGGAGGGGGTATGAATCTCCTGAGATGTTGGTGCAAGCAGTCCCCTTTCAGATCTATTGAGTGCGGAATTAGTTTGTGTGGAAAGCTGACCGCCGACTTTAACCCACCCGCTCGATAAGACACTGAAAGGTGGCAATGTCATGAGCTGTTTCCGTTGTGCTAGCAGGATTGCCGGGCATCGCGCTTCATTGTTCGTGCGAAGCATCACATATGTTGTGTTGGTACGTCTCCAGGTACGCAGCAGCCACATAGCCTCCAGCCCCATCATCGTGAGCAATTGAAGCATCGTCATTTTGCAGTTGTACAAGTTCGGTAGCCCTTTGAATGCTGCCCTTCTCTGAAAGGATTCTTATGAAGCCTGCTGCCATCGAAACATGAAGTAGCTGATCATCCACACATCAGGTTCAGGCTGCACAACACCGGAAGTGCGAGCTTGCTGAGTACCATTTGAATGCATGCCCTCACCTTGTATGGGTGAGCTTGCCGCAGAAGAAGTGCTGCAAGTTTTGAATTACTGCTAGATTTACAGAATCCTGCACTGAACCTGAAGTCGAACCACGCGAGGATGACGTGAAGATCCAGCCACATGTCAGCTGGTCTTCGCCTTGGTTTGCAACCATTGAGGGTCTTAGTCTGTGGAGACCTGGCTATTCCTTGCAATCTAGACCCAACAGGCAAGCCTCTGGGGGTGCTTGGTTCTCAGTTTTTGCTTCGACGAACCCAAGTTAATCAGGAGTCAGGAGCTCTTCAGGCCGTGTAAGTCTATCCAAGCTGAGGGCAAATGTCATCATCCATGGGCGGACTGGCGCTGGTCCTGGGTACTCATGGGACCAGCTGTATGAGAGTTTCTCAAAACAACGTGTACCAAATCCTGGAGGGGACTTTACCATACGGTGCTCCCAAGTGCATAGCTTCAAGAACTCCCCGCAGAAGAACTTGCATGCAGGAAACTTGTCGAGCTAGCTGTGCTGTTGCCATTTAGTGCTTTCACCTGTTACTTCCAAAGTCGAAGCACTATAGAAGCCCGAGCCCTCACCCTTTGCTAATCGTGCAGTTCAAACTCGTTGTAATGAAGGATGTATGGCAAGCTGCGGCAACAGCCCATAAGAAACAAGGGCTTCTCTTTCTATGAAAGACGCACACATGCATTGAAATTGCCTAAGGTTCTCGCCACTCTTCGATGCTGGTGGCTGTCATGGTCTCCAGCTGGAGCTGCAGGCCCGATTTCACAGCGTTCCTTGCAGAGTACCAATGTCATACATGCATCCTGTAGTTTCTGAGCTGGCCATGCTAGCTGACACAGAAAGAGCCACGGTGAACTTAAGCGCTGCTGCCAGATCTTCCGTGCGGTCGATCCACCTTTGGAGGGCCAGGAGGCCGGGTTCTATTGACTTCCGAGGTCACGAGAAGATACGAGAAGCATGGCTCCGATCCCAAATCCAGCGGAAGTTATTGATCATGCCTGCTGATTGCATTCCATTCAGAGTACACTTCTCCAGCAGCCGCAGCTGGTGACTGCTTGTTCTGAAGTTTGGAGGTTGGAGACTGTGCCGTGTACCTCTGGGCGACCAGGGGATGCAATCTTGTCTACAAGCTGGCAGTGGGAAGCAAGCTCTCCCCTAAGTCTGCCATGCCTCCAAAGTTTGAAGGTTGTCAAGACCCATCCCATGGACACTTGAGCTCACTTGATTCTTTGGTCCTTCTGGCAGCTTGCAAGTAAAGTGCAACGCATGCTAGTTGTGCTCCAGGGCAGCTGAGGTCACAGCTTCTTGAGAAGAGGTTCAATGGGCGAGTGCCATATGGTGCCAACCTTGGACATGTGGCTTTGTTGTCACATGACCGAAAGCCTAGACATGCCGGACATGTCCCGCCGGCAGCGGAATTTGATGCGCGTGCCAATCAAATTTCAGGCACCACGCGCCTTTGCTTCTTCACCGATCAGATCAACAGAGAGGAGCCGCTGCAAGGTTCCTGACAATCACTTTAATTAGCATTAAGGTTGTTGATGGTTGTGTTGGCTGCCCATAAAAGGAGCATGCAGAGATCTGCGATGTTGGGCATTGGCATAGGAGTCCAGAAGCAAAGATGTATCCAAAGGTCAGAAAGTAGCTATGGGTGTGTTGCTAGTGTAGCCATCCTGATGCTTGTCGAATACCCACAGCGCACATGCAACAGCTTGCATATTCCTGCGAACCTGCGGAGATTCTTCAAAGCCCAATGTAGTGTAGCTGCCTCCAGGATGATACCTTGCGCGTCTCCTGCGAAATCCTCGAGGTATGCCCGTCTTCAGCACAAAGGATGTGGATTTTCTCTTGAGTTGCGTTGGCCGTTTGATATGGCATGCCAGAGAATCCGTGAAGTGTTCAGCAAAGCATCCTGGAATAATTTGTGCTTTGCACTTGTGGCAGTGGATGAGGCTTTCAGGGAGCTAGAATCTCCAGTGGAGCCGGCGGCGCCACATCCTCCAGATTGGAGGAGCTTTTGGAAGGGGTAGGGCCTAGGGTCTTGCTTTGTTAGAGCTGCAGGGCTGGTGTCCGTTGACGTTGAGCCTTGCAAGGTCATGCAAGAAAAGGGTTTCATCCTGGATGATAGTCTGAGCTTTCAAACGCATTCGGGGAGTTCGCACGTGGACGGGTACGGTGAAAACGGCAGAAGGAATTTGGGAGCGAGATTTTGATGGGCTTTCAATGTCATACTGCGAGTGCTTGAGAAAGATGGCAATGTTCAGAGTGCAGATGAGGGATGTTCCGAACAAGGCCGCGAGCCATGATCCACGAAATTGAGAGACCTACAAATCTCTTACGTCTTGGACAGTTTCCACTGGACTCCTGCAGGGAGGAACGGGGAGGGGTATTCTCTGACTCAAGCTGCATTCCTTCCGTCTGCCGTCTGCTTGGCAAGACGGAAGAGGGCCCATCAGGCAATCAACGCTGACCTGTAAGCCCTAAGCCTAAGCCCTAAATCCTTTGCTTTGAAGGAAGGCGCTTTTGGCAGAAGGCAAGCCTGTTCCCGAGGCCAGGCTCTTTCTCAAAAAGAATGCACGGATGTATGTGGATCATGAGGGATGATAGAAGCCTTAAGTGTGAAATTGTGCAGTGATACGCCTCTGCGCAAACTTTAAGGGAGCACCTTTTGTTTGAAACCCACTGGAAGTTTAGCTAAGACTCCATCACTTTGACTGGGCCTGCAAGTGCAGTGGTACTGCTTGGCAGGTCGATGCGGTGGTGGCAGCGTGTCCTCCGCTGAGAAGAGGGCAGGTTGGGCTTGGAGAGGGTTTCTGATGTGAGCTCCTGAAGACATATCCGAGAATCCCCGCTCATGGAGAAGTGCAAGGCTTCATGTATTCTGGCCAGACTTATTGCTGCCTTATCCTTCTGAAGGTGCTTAGCTGCGCACTTCGTTCACGAACCAGTTGAATAAGATTCTGGCGAAGTGAGGTCGCGACCACAGCGGCCCGGAGCCCCTTGAAGGCCTCTGCTTCCCCTCCCCCCACTCCCCACCCCCGCTCTTGCGCTTCTAGCCATCCGACTTGGGTCTTTGACTTGCAGGTGCTACTTGCATAGAGCGGGCCTCGTGTCAGGGAATACGGATCAAGCTGACAAGATGTTTTTGGCCCCAGTGACATTGAGCCAGTTTCACATAGGCATTGCACGTCACGCCTCTGCCTAGGCGGCTAGTGGAAGTCGAGGAACCGATGCCCACAAAAGAAAACAAGAATCAGAGCCGGCGCTCCTGTGCCGGCACTTTCGCATGTAAGCTGACTGACAGGACAACTGCTCTACTACATGCACATCAACAACCGGCTGCTGGATCTGGTCCGCTTCAAGAGCACATGTTTCGTTGTCTTTGGGACATAGGAGTGATGATGATATTTGTCGCGATAAGATGGGCGACTGTCAGACCCATGCAGTGAATCTAGAACACTTCGACCAAGGAGAAGAAGCAGCAACCTCAAGAAACAATTCGCGTATCCCATGATAGACAGGATGAAGCTGGAGTAGAGGGCAACCTTTCTTGCTGCTAAGATCTACATGAAAATTTTATGTATGTATACACACATGACGTCTGCGTGGTCATCCTCTTCCCGTGCAGGTCAAAGACCAAGTCGACGCGATGAGGTGCCGCATGGCTGGCTTCCCAGTAAAAAACTTTCCTGAGCCCTGCTGGTGAGAAGCATCAATTGGAACGAAAAAGAAAACACTGTACGGTTTGAGGTTTACAGTTTCGGGTGTCAATAGGGAATGGAGGAATGTAATCCTATAGTTCCCACATAGTCCCTGGTAGTCCCCTTCTGGATGCTGTAGCGGTTGACTGCTTCCTGATGCATGCGAGTTCCATCATGAGGTCCGAACGGTGGAGTGGAGGATCGAGAACGCTGCTAGCTCAAGCACGTCCTACAAGTGCACATAAGTGCACATAGCTACTGCCCCTAATCATTGTGTCTTGCATATCTTGCTGCAAAGCACACCTTTCTGCCCCGCCCCAAGGCTTCTTTGCTTCGGCTGTGCTTTCCCGAGGGTGAGGCTCTTTGCAGTCCGGACCGGTGGGAAAACATCTTGGGGCACCCTTCAGCACCAGCTGCTTGCCAATAGCATATGGCTGCCTACATCATAGAGCTTTGCATCACCTGACCAACTAAGCCGGCCCAAAAACCCAAAGATTTGGGGATGATTGGGTGGGGTGAGGATGCAGTTGGTGAGGACTTCGGTGCAGCAGGAATCGAAGGCCTTCGGCTCGTCTTCTACCCTTGTGGTTACCTTGGCGCGACAGAAGGCCAGTCAGCCAGGGTTCAGGGTTTGCGGAGGGGCAGAAGAAACAGTACAAGGAGAAGCAGTCGTTCAACCGCTGTTGCCGCTGTCGTTGCCCCTGTTCCGCTGCTGCCAGCACTACCGCTGCAAAATGAAGAATGACGAAGAATGTCAACAACCCTTCAGATACGTGCCTCAGCACTCCACTTACTGCGCAGACCTGGCAACTCCGGACAAAGCTTGGATCTTCAGGGATCTAAGACCTGAGCCCCTCAAGCCTTAGACCTTCAATCCTGCAAGTTGCAAGCAGCAGGCTTTTGCTCACTTTTCCTGGTAGCGCCAGCTGGGGCGATGCTGCAGTGCACGCCGGGAGGCCAAGCATCAATCTAGCCACAGTCGTGCTTCAGAAAGAGTTTAGGAGTCCCAAGTCGGATCTCGCATCTCAAAGCCTTTCACAGACCTTGCTAGTCAAGATTGTAATGAAACTTCATTAAATCTCGAGAACTTGTTTGGTTCCCGGCAAGTGCACAGAAGACCCTGGGCCGTGAGGCTAAGCTCTGAGCATTGCACGTTTAAGATGATAATTGCGGTTTGGAGGATTCACAATCGCGATCCGTATTGAAGTTGAAGACAGCATCTTTGGAATCGATACCGTGACCGCTTGAAGCCTATTATCTAGGAGCTAATGTAGTTTTTCTGGAGGACAGTCCGGTGGGAAATGACATCATGTGTGGTTGGGACATCCTGAATTCTTCAGCTGCAACCCCCTCAGAACCGAAGCGCTATGCGTGAAATCATCACTACGACCAAAGTCCTTGTTATTCAGACCGTACGCAGGTCAACCGTTTTCGTGTCCAGAGATAATGACTAGTGTCATATTATGTAGAACCGCCGTTTAACTTGTTATTATCGGATCACCACCTGTACAAAAGCAGGGCAGCCCTAACGATGGACCCCAGGCCCTGGACCCTATGAATCCCACACCTTAGCTTCAAATCGTGGGCTCAAATTTAAGGTCCTGCTCCATAAGCTTGTGGAAGATGTTTGCCATACAGTGCCATTCTGAATGGATTTGCGTCTGTTACTCCGACATGGTTAGGCACATCACTGCAAAAAGAATCTCTCAAACACACGCATTGTTTCTTGCTGTCAGGGATGCACCTTTCAGAGAGGTTTCGGCAGCTCTGGATGAATGTAGGGCTGCTGGCCTGCTGGCTACATCCTGATCCAAAACAGACGGTTCAGTTTTTTGCAGCTGCTCGAATGGAAGCAGGCGCTCACACTGGCAAGGAAGTGCCTGCTGAAAGGCATCAAATGTGATGATATGTAATATAGACATTATCCGATAACCTTTGATGTGCTACGCCGTCGTGGCAGGCAGCTGACAAGTATTGCGTCAGCATGGGGCCGAAGTTGAGTGGCCAAGACCACCGTGGAAAACCTTTATTTTCTATACGATCCGCGCGGGTCACCTGAAAGGCTGATGGCAGAACGTGGAGCGGACTTGAAAGTCCAGCCCAAGATGGGACCGGCACCTTTACATGGTTCGAACCCGGGCTGAAGAGCCAATTTTCGTTCTCACCCTCCCACTCCTTGTTTTGCACGCTTTGTTGTTCACGCACTTGGTTGTCACAAGGAGGGGTGAAGATTGTTCTTCCTTCAGAAAGGCGCTCCGAACGCCGCTTCCTTGAACGTGCAAGCTCAGGAAATTCCGTCTGAACTGGCATTTCTCTCTAAACACTCTGGTCAATGGGGTGGGAGCCAACAGCCACTGAAAAGAGTCAGCCTCGAGAGTCGAAATGTCAACGGCCGAATTGGCAACACTGCGCCTACCTTGGCGAGTGATTTGGGGAATCGAGAGCAACATGTCATGTGTGTGAATTTCGTTTTAGCAACCCCAGCAAAATGTGTCTCAAAAACTTCCCCTCACCCCGCCATAACATACATACCGCGTCATGGTGGAAGTGAAACAGCAGAGACGAAGATTGAGGCTGCAAGCTGGACGTGAGCGCAGAGAAGCCAGACTCTCCGGCACGTTTGAAAGCTTACACAAATTCCGGCCGCTATGTTGCCTGCATATTCCAGCGCACACGGGGTCATCGTTACTGTGTGGATGGGTTGCATTTTCGCCATGGGTGCTTAATGGGTTGAGGCAATATTACGGAAATCTTCTTCTTAGTTTGGAGACACACAGACGTTTCTTCTGGGCCTATGCCTATCACCCTTACTCGTACATAATCCGACATTGCCCACATCTGATCTCCTCGTCATCTTCTCATTCGTTTGTTGCAGTATATAGTCTCTACATGATCCCTTTGTAAAAGCCTTGCTTACAAGACCAAACCTTAAGGCCCCAACAGCCCCAAAGATCACACCATTTGAGCTTGAAAGCCCAAATATCCCGAATCCTAAAAAATCTCCTGACCCACAGAACCCTTCATCCTGAGCAGGAGTCCTTGAACATTTGAGACCCACGCATTCTCCCCAACCCTCCGACCCCTGACACCCATGCTGCCAGGCCATGCCTTCGAACGGGAAGGTGCTTTTGGGCGCACAAACTTCTGCCAGCAGGGTGCCCAGTGCCTACTGAAGGGGCCTAAATCATCCCAATATCTGTTTGAGGTGCCCTATACCGAAATCATACAAGCAGTCTAGTGGGCTCATCCCGCAGACGCGCTGTAGGTTGTTGTTTCTATTGCGGCGCAAGCTCTTGAGGTTTGGATTGGATCGACAGTCCCATGTGTGTTGCACACAGTGTTTAGGGCTTGGGGTTCATGGTTTAGGGGTGGTCAGTAGGGAGCAAGAAATACGATCCCAACATAGTATATTCCCGTATTCCCTACCAAGGACCAGTAAGACTGAGTAGATCGGAGATTGGATGGGACTTCACGCATCCCGATGCCTGCTGTGCAAAGTCGCACGGCAACAATATTGATGGCTTGGGAGATCAAACAATTAGGCAATCACTTGGCAAGCGAGTAGAAGTTTTATGATGACTGACTCCAACTCGGCATGTGCGGATGAATCGGGCCACAGCCTCTAATGACCGTATTGCCTCGGGAGCCCTGGTACGTTTCCAGAGCACAAGGCTGCAAAGTTGTGTGGACGAGCACGACTGCATCTTGGTTCGCTTGGACGTGGCGGCCGGGGCCTGACTGTGAGTCTCCAACAGAAGAAGTCTTTCTCGTGTCCCAGCAACTCAGAAGCTGCGGTGACATCAGCCGCTGTCTGTCTGGTCAGGAGGCGCACCAAGATTTGGTGGCCAAGGCGGCGTCCTGAGGATGTTGAGTGAAGCCTTGCTCACAAGCAGACTTGCACGTCATGCTGGGATGTGTGCCAAACAGTCATAGCAAAAAGTCGTCAATCATCTGAGAGTTATGTGTATAAGAAGGAGGGAACATCAGAGTCAAACAGCTCGGAAGACCCATAGCTCAAGCATGTTCAAGCGCCTCTTCGGGATTCTTTACGCATTTCCTTGAAAAATCCGGCCCTAATTTGTACCCTAGAACCTCCCAAGCTACCCACTACAGAAATCCTTGACCCCCGGATCAAACCCTGAGTCCCAAAGCATATAAACATATATATATATATATCGTATGTAGTATATATACAACAAATATACAGATATACAGAAATGTATGTATAAACAGTATATATATATACATACATGGTACATCTTCATAATGCATATATACATGCTAACCTCCCGTTCCCGGGTTTAGGGGTCTGGCCTGAATCCGATTGATCTATCTATCTAGATTCAAGTGATCACACTGACTGATCAAATCATGGCGTCGACCCGTCTCATTCATTTGGGCTTTGCATCAGGGTCATTCATCTGTTTAACTCGATTAGGAGGACTGAGTGTGAATCAATCAATTCATATCGGATTTGGGGGCCTGAGCCTGAACCTAAGTAATTTCATTGCTACAAGTCATTTACCCAATCAAATGAAGGAGATGGCTAGGATCCCTTAGCGTGATGAATCAAATGAATCAGGTTCATTCAGTTATCAGGTTATCAGCAGAATACCTAAGCTAGATTGCAGCTTGAGCCTAAATTCAGCCATTCTGATTGTTCTAATGCCTCAAATGCTCTGACTGAATTAAGTTAGTGGGCCCCAGTCTGAATCCACTTAATCTGTTTGATCCCATTGCTTTGTTTAACCAAATGAAGGAGACGCCCAGGACCTATCAGTTTGAGCAACCAAAGCGATCTCAATAATCTAATTCTTAAGTAAGCTTGCAGAACCCACACTTAGAGTTTGATGTGTTGGGTTCATTTCATGACTCAAACTATGGGGTCTGGTCATCTCGGTCTATGCTTTCGAAGGTAGCGTATTTTTGCTAATCTCCAGTACTGAGATTAGAGGGCTCCTGAATCCAGCTAATGTGATTGACCCCACGTATTTACTTATCCACATGAAAAATCTAATAGATGTGGTGCTGAATTTAGCTTACATCAGGGAGCCTGACCCTGAATTCAAATAGTTTTAGAAGCTTGATAGAGTTAGTTTATTTTGATTAGGGGGCCTGAGCAGGAATCTACTCAAGAGATGTTAATTGTTAGATTCATTTGATTGGAAAACGGAGGTTGGTCATCTCAGTCATACGCTTTTGACATGTATCGCATTATGTTCGTTAAAGAGATTTGGGGACCTCGGTCTGATTCCAAGTAATCTAATCATTAGATTAGTAGAATATTTTTGGTTAGAGGGCCTGAACCTGAATCTATTTCATCTGATTACTGCAACTCTTCAGATCAGTCAAATAAAGGACCCAGCCAAGACCCTGTAGGTTGATTACCAAAACGAGCGCAAGCAATGAATCAAAATCATCCAGTGCAATGAAACACAGCCATCGTATCACTATGTTTGGTTTGTCTTCAGACAATCAGCTGTACTGATGTGCACAAAGTATTTAGGAAGAAACAACGATTGAGTTGATGTAGGTGCTCTTTGTCAGGAACTTTGAGAAGGGTCCAGGTCCATTTGTGTGTCTCTGTTTTCGGGGGTCTTTTCCGTATCATATAATACAATGATTCTCATGACAGTCCAAATGAAAGTTCATCCCTGCACTTGTTAAAGTAAAGAGCACGAGCTGCTATAACAGGAGTCTAGAATGGTCCTGGGAAGGGCGTTATTATATAATATATGTATATACGCATCCCAAATAACTATATACCACCTCTATGTCCCTATGTAACACCTATAACATACCACACGGGCTGCTAGAAAGGCCGCCCACCCGCCTCCCAAGCCGGGCGACCAGCGGACGCTCTCACAGCGAGAGGTGTTTTGAAGAGCTGACTATAGTATCCAGATAGATGGGGGATTCAAAGGGATTTTCCAAAATTAGGGGTACCA